AGCGCAGAGGTGAAGCAGAAGGCGTCGTAGCGGTCGCGCTTCCGGTCGCGGGGCCCGTAGCTGCGGATCCCGGGCCGACCGTGACCGCCGCACGGAGCGCGCGCCGTGAGCACAGGGTAGCGCACGGAGCCCTCGAGCAGCCAGCCAGCGTTACACCAGTCCAGCCCCTCGGTCCACGCTGGCGGGAGATGGGGGGACGAGGGGCGTCACGGGCAGGAGCCAGCCCCGGAGGTCGCCTCCGCTGGGGGCCCCGTGACAGCCCGGCCCCCGCCGCTTACCCTGGTACAGCTGGGTGTAGGTGGCCAGGCGTCCGTCCTGTTCCTCGCACGCCTGTTTCGCCTCGTAGTAATTGAACTGGTACCGGCCCCGGCTGGGCTGGTACGGAAACACCACACCTGGGGGTGGCGGACAGTCTGGGGACGACCGGTAGACGAGGCGGGGGGCGTGGACGTCCGGAAGCGGGCGTGGGGGATGCTGGGGGAGGAGCCCTGGGAGACCCGACCCCCTCAGCAAGAGAGGAGCGGGGAGGGAAGCGACGGGCCTCACCCTCCAGGAGCAGGGTCAGCGTCACGCTCTCATCCTCGATGCCGTTGATAAGCTCACAGCGGTACCGGCCCTCGTCCTCCAGGACCACGCCCGCGATGACCAGCGAGGCGTCTAACCGGTGCCCCTTCCGCATCCTGGCTCGACCCCCCAGGGCCCCGTAGCCCCGGGCGTGCAGGCCGTTGGTGATGAGGATGGGCGCTTCCCGGAGCTCCCCCGGCTCCGCTTTGCTCCAGCGAACCTTGTAGCTGGGAGGCGGGGTGCCCAGGACGCAGGGCAGCGTGGCCGTGGCCCCACGACGAGAGTGAATGACCTCGTGGATGGGGGGCAGGAGGTAGTGGGGGCCCCGGTGGGGTGCTGAGCAGAGGGGGCCACAGTGGCAGGAACCCCCTGACCCCTACTGCCCCAAGTACCCATGCAGACCCTCTCCTCCTTTGCCCACTCAGCAATGACTCACTCCTGGGCACATCCAACAGCTGCCCTCCCCACGTTCCCCACACCTGGAGCCTCCCTACTGTTCTCCAGATTCTGGGCGGTTCGGAGGTCTTACCTGGGTCCCCCAGGGCTTGGTGGAAGATGGTGAAGGCCCAAGGGAGGAGGAGGAGGCAGAGAGAGGGGATACTGAGCCAGCCTGGCATGACGGGAGTCAGCCTAGCTCCGTCTGCGGGACTAAGGAAATGGGGGCGGGGCAGGGAGCAGGGTTGGAGGAGAACTCCCGCCAGGGACTTCTCAGAGGGGACTGACTGTCCAGCTGGAAGCCATGGGGGCAGAAAAAGGGGCTCATGTTGGTGGCAAAAGGAAGGTGATGGGGGAGGGGTCAGTGTACCCACATCCCTCTGCCTCTGCCATGCCTGCAGTCAGCAGATCCTGATTTAGCACGTCCCCTGCCTGACTCCTTCTCGTCACAAGCGCCACTTCCCAGGTCTTGCCATCTGGTTGCCAGCTCCGGTCTCTACCCTCCCAACACCCATTCCCATCTGAAGCCAGAGTACATATGACCTTGTCACTCTCCCGCTTAAACCAGCAGCTCTCGGTGGCCCTGAGGATAAAGCCCAGTGGCCTGACCGCATCTTCCAGAGCCATCCGACCCAGCCTCTGGCCGCGCCCCCACCTG